GGGGTTTTGCCCCGCCCAAAAAAGGAACCTTTTTAATGGCCCCCCCCCCCCCCCCCCCCCCCCACCATTGTCGTTAACACTGTAAGTAATAAATTACCCCTACCTCCTGCCAATGTACTATAGATTTTGTTGTGGAACACAGTGATGTTAGATTCTTAACATTTTTGTCTAAATGAACGCAATCTGTGAGTAAATGATGTTGGTGATTCTGAACATTATTTACAGAAATAATACTCGTATTCATTAACTCAACGAGATTAAAACACGACTAAGGTGTAATCATCCAATCGACAAGAACTCTCAGAAATATCCTGTTTATTCAGGGTCTGGAAGTCTGAAATTACCTAAAGGAAGAAATGTTGACTCAATGTCTGGACTGGTGGATGTTCTAAAACGACAATATTTGGTCATACATAAGATGAGATAGTTGATTCTGTTTGCTTTCTATCACTCTGAGTATAGGATATCTTCCACGTAAATAGTTATTAGCAGTACGCCTGTTTACCTCGACGCATATCTGTTATCAGTATCCCCAATAACCTAAAACACTGACGTTTTTTCAGGAAAGGAACAACTATTTCTATTAAATTGTAGATTGTTCGTGAGTTTGGCAAAAGGTGAACCCAGTAGGCTAAAATTCTACTCCTTATTTTCCTTACATTTGATATATCGTTACCTAGTAAGTCTATTTTGTCGGTGCAGGTCTTCGTGGCAGAAGTATTCCCTAAAATAATTCCAAGATACAGGGAAGATGGATTTAGAAAAGATTGAAACATCCTTAATTAGAGAGTTGATCAAGATTTAACGGTAAATACTATGTCCAGTAACCTTATGGGCTATACATTAACATTTGAGAGATGGCGTTTCACATAAAATCTGTGTAATTAAATTTGCTTTTACACCAAGCCACTGTTGGAGAAAATCTTATTTACAACGTTTGCTGGCATTTAACGACTTCGGTAGACTTTAAAATTAAAATTTGTCTCTGGTTTTAACACATCTTAGACTAATTTAATTTAGAGTTAACGTAAAGGTGTAAAAATTCACAATGTCTGGTGGTTTCATTTCTTGAGTTGATAATTTTGGATTCTCTATTCCTAGAAGAAAGTCAACGATTCTAATAATCGTTGGGAGCCCAATTTTGTATTGATAAATACTTTCGTGGCTTACTAATTCTTCAATATAATTTAATTACTAGTTTTGACCTCGAAAGCAGCCAATAGATTTTAAAGGACAATAAACTCGAAATCCCAATGTAAAACTAATATGGATTGCATGCAAATATGCCTACGTTGTCAGGGGTTTCGAAATTTTAACTTGAAAACATTTAAAGACACATTTTCAAAAAATTAATATTTTGACGGTGGCATATCGAAAGTAGACTATTGGCGGAGATGCTATAGACATAAACCTGTAAAGGATTTGCCAGATATCAAAGAGGGGAGGGAAAGGGAATGCCTAAGAATATCAGGGACTAATATCATTGTGCGAATGTCTGTGGTATTAGTCCACGTGATGTTCGATTCATTCAGTAATTCAGTTTTAACAAATTCGGTTGAAAACCGCAGCAGCTACTTTTAGCAACTTTGAAATTGATCCTCAATTGATGATAGTATTTACCGATTTTTTTATATCGAAATTGTTCAAAATAATGAGGAGTTGAAAAACAAATTAGTACCTTGTGAAAACTACGAAATTAACACATTTTGAAGACCCACAACCAATTCTCTGTGTGCATTTAATTAATTGTCTTTTGTGACTTTTAACTTACAGCTAATACGTTTTAAAGAAATGACACTGATCGTTGGATACAATAATACATGCTGAGTTGTTTCCCATTTTACTGATTGTCCAGAAAGTGTCGCGAAGATGATTCTGGTTGCTCCCCTACGTCTTCAAAAATAAGCTTTTAAGCACATTTTGTCGTTCGTGTAGTGTTTTCTTTGAATGGTGTAAGGCATGGTATTAACTACATCTATTCTTTTTTTTAAATAAATATACTTTGTGATCATTGTTGCAAAAAACTATGCTGTCACGTGAACTGTTTTTAACCGATTATCCACCGCTATATATCTTGAAACGTCCCTGAAATAATATCATTTTAAGTTACATCAATATATCATATTTTATTAAATAAATAAGTATATCACATTTTTAAAGTAAATAATAACAGCAAATATCCAGTTGTACAAAAATGTCCAGAAATATTTTGAATTCGTAATTACCAAACATATTTCATTATATCCCATGATAAGTTATGTTTAAATATTCACCACCAATCAGATCGTCTTTTTAAGCACGTATTAGGCACACTTCAAATTGAAACAAAATTTCATTTCGTACTTAAGTTTCACATTAATGACGGATTCAAAATGATACTTCTTCTTAAACTAAATAATTATTGAAAACGCTTCAAAATTAATTAGGTTAATTAATAATTTCTTTTATGGATTAATTGGATTTTAAAGGGATTCCGTCGTATAGATATGACATCAGATAATTTCCGGATATCTCAAGAGATAGTTTACATCCTATTAGTTAAAACACAAAGCATGTAAAACATTTTTCACATGTAAGCTGATGATAGGATATCGCTCCTTTATGTTCATAGAGCACAATTAAGTAATATAATATATTATGTCACTTTTGTTAATATAAATATAGGCTTGCAACAATATGAATGTAGTTGTTTTTGAAAAGAATGGTAAGCTGCAAAGTATGTCATCACACTTACACATCAGTTTGGTCTCTCAATGATACAGCATGTTACCATATACAGCACAAAATGATCGCCCTGCGAGGCTTAATAATAAATGTACAAAACATTCTCAATCCAAGAATAATAAGGGAAGGGGTTGGCCCATTTCAAACGATTTAACAGATTTGTTTGAGCACACCGGAAACATGACTACAAGGCATTTTGCTCATTCATGTATTTATATACTAGAATATGAATGGATAGGTGACGAATATGTCTGAAAGTCCACACAGTGATGTATCGCGATTAATGCAAATCATATGAGGAAAAAAAACGTCTTGAAGTCTTGTAGACATGTTTGTATGTACACCACGGAATGTATGACCTGTTCTTTAAAATATGAGCACATTTACACTTAAAACACAACACATCCTGTGAACGCGATTTCACCCATTTAGGCACTTGCAACATCCTGGCACCTTTACCATTTCAACAACAAACTTGTCGTCATCTGATTTATTTGCTTCAATAAGGGCGGTATGAGTGTCTATCGCCTGTGTACATCGGCATCCATTACATCCAAGCACTTGTCTGAAAGATAAAGTATATATCAAGCATATTAATTCAACAGAAGTTGCTGGGAACCTATAGTATAGAGACCTCAAGCAAGATACTTCAGTACACTTTCCAATAGCCTTAAGTCGGGTATGAAATTTAATGCCACGGAAAGTTGCATTTCTGTTTTAGCAAATATAAAAGATATTTATGTCATCAATATTTTTTCAGATTGAGACCGTTTTAAAGGGACAAGTGCAGCATTTCCGAGAGGAAATCAAACCTTGGTCTGAGAAACGTGAATTGTTCTGTTAAACTAATCAGTTATAATGCTCACAGCTTACCGTCGAAATATGAGCCTTAAAATGTATCCTTAACTATATATGTTTGAAAGTTATTTTAACGACTCGTGATTTGACAAGACTTTTTATTTTGAATATCTGTTGATGGTGTCAAGTGTAGACTCCATTATCCTGTGCAACTACGTCTACGCATAGTTGCGACGGAAGATACTTTGGTGTCAGAGAATATATCAACTTTCGGATACCCCAAATTTGAGAGAGAAGATAATCTTGTGAACGAAATAAATATAAAAAATTCTTATTTGAGGTCTATTTGAATGAATTACGCGATTTTTGTACAGTTTTAGTATATAGTTCTGAAGAAAATTTGTATGTATTCAAAGCTTAAATGAATCTCCAAAAATACCACATCTGTCCCTTTAATGTGAGGTTCCTGTAAGCAGCATATTATATTTGCATGGAAAATGGCTATGTGACATGGTTGGGTTTTAAATCCCAATCACCCTACCGCCCCAACCGATAATAAAAATGTAAGCATTGGTATTATATATTTCAAGGATCGCAGATTTCATGCTACGCATCGAAACATTTTCACTTTTGGCTGATTTATAAAACATTAATTACAAATTGCTTTATGGAAAAAAAATGCCAGAAATTTTAGTGTCACAAATGTATCATTCTATCTATACACGTTTGATGGATATGACAAGTCTTTGTTGCTAACGTGGCTTCTCTTGATAATGATAATGATGATTCCGAAAATGTACTCACTGGCAACTTTGTGTTTGAAAATATTGTCGCTTATCCAGGTCGTCGAAATGGGCAAGAGTTCTAGGTATATCATCAATGCCAGGTAATTCATCAGGACTTATAAAAGATGTTTCACTGAAAAATTAAATAATAACAAGTTACAAAAGAAGAATTTTTAATGACATTAAGTCAACACAACTCACAACACTAAAACATTTTATGAGATGAAGTGACATTTACATGAGGAAGGATAATTCTAAAAATAGTCGTTTTGTATGCAGTGAAAGCGGATGTTGATAAAATGTAGCAGTTTCGTTCAGTTTGACTAGCTCAAGATTTTCATGCTCATGATATGTTGAATTTTTGTCCAGAAACAAGATTTCAGAAAAAAAAGTTATAGAATCCGTGATTTAACATGGAAACAGATGGTAAATGAATTAGAGACAACAATTTGGCTTATGGGTTAACTCCCTTGACAAGCATATTGTGTTGTATATCACCCATTCAACAGAATATACTTACGAAATACAGCAAGCATGGAAATGCGTGTTTGCTAATTGCACTTGTCTTTTCTTTCTGGATGGAGGTTGAGGCTTACAGGTAAATGTACAACCTGAAGAATAATATGGCCTTAACGTCTGGTTTGCATATACCACATGTTTCTGTTCGTTCTGGTAAAATTGCTTTGCAAAGATACTCTGTTCCGTTCTGTTTCGAAAAAATCCACCGTATCTTTGAAATATAATTTTCGTATTATTTTGTGTACCATTCACACATTCATATACTGGTGCTTTTCTGGATTCGTCATAACTAAAAAAAAAAGAAAAGAAGTTTTAAATTAAAAATCAATTTGACCGCTTTGGTATGCATCTCCAGAACTGGTTAAAATGTGTTTTTTTTGTTAACATAATTATAATTCTCTAACAAACAGTTAAATAGTATGATTATACTTACAAGGAGTGTCTCCATATAAATGCTGCCACAGCCGCTACGGTGGTCAGAAAAAATAATACGGAAAAAAATACCTGGAGATGAAAATAAATCCCATATAAGTGACAAAAAAGCAAAAATAACCTCGGGGATCTCAGAGATACGAATTCCGAGGTCGCAAATAGACCGCCTTCATCCTCCAAAGGGCGCCCCTAAACGATGTCTAAGATCTACTGCGTGCAAAAACGGGATATTTACCGAAACGACCCGATAACTTATTATAACATATTAAATCCTTACCCATAATCTAGATGCAGAGCAACTATTTGATGTCTGTTTTTGTGGTTTGCGTTTATAATTTTGTTTTCCATCTATAAGACTTATGGTCCCCGTCTTTTCTTCTGTTCTCTTCTCGGCCATCTTTTCTTCAGTCTGAAACAGAAATACCAAAAAACAATGATAAATTTAACAAACGAGCTAAATCGATCAATTTCTGTGGGTAATGTTATGATCACAGTTGCGTTTCGTGAGTTTCCTAAAAAGCGCGAATCGTTTTTCGATTTTATTTTTATTTTATTTTTTTCTATCCTTGGGTGATAATGAACTGTTTACATAGTTTAATCAGTCAAGAATTGTGCCTTCCAGTATCCAGTGTTAACAACCGAAAATTCGATTAAGTTTCCAACAAAAAAGGCAAATTTTATTAAATATATATATTATATTGCACAAACCAGATATGTTAGCTGTCAAGAGACCATCTTGACATATTCAAACAGATACTCGTGCATGGATATTATGGTATGCCATTTCCTCCATACTAGCCATGATGACATACATGTCTAACACGTGCCCGATCTTCGACACAAAGAAAACATGTACCTTTTGGAACGTGAAAAACATATTTTCGAGATTTGTCACTCTATTGAATAAAGATTCCAGTTTATTTTATACTCTGTCAGAATTAAGCAATACCCGACAACAATTAAGTACAGAAATAGATGGACCTTCCATCGCGTTGCTTAAGTATAATGTTTATTCTACAACTGTGGTTTGTGAAAAATCGAACCTGTGGTTTGTTACTTATTTGTGTTTGGTAAAAAATTGTTAATTTCAAGTGTTTGGTTTTTTTCTTTTTTACCATTTGTGGATGATGAAAGAGTGTAAATTTGTGTATCACAGGAATATAACATAATTATCTTATATATATCTTATAAACATTTACAAGCAAGCGTATTGAATTACTTATAGGATTGTCTCTTTAAAATACAATATATTATTTGCATGGTAATCCTTGATTAATTGAAATCTGACTCTGAATTTACTCTGCGACCGAACATAGACACTTTCTTTCAAAACCATCTTCTCACACTTTAAAAGTGAGAAAAGTCTACATTCTTACATTCTTTATAATGACCCGCGAACAAAAACGTCATGCAGTATTTGCAGCGAAAGAATTTCTGGACAGCGTATTAGCCTTTTTCTTTTTCGACCTGCACAGCCTGCGACATATATCTGTTAATTGTCACATCGAAACAACTACATGCTTTTCCGTTTCAGCTAATCCGACCTGCTTCATTGGCAGGAGAATTTCGGATTGAGAACTCGATATGACTCGATAATAATTCGATATCACGTTCATGTTCATTGAAAGTTTTTAATAAGATATAGTTACCTGTTTCACTGCATCCTCATTAACGCAGACTTCTTGCTGCATTATGACAGGATAAAGACGATCTGGTCGAATTACAATCTCTGCCATTTTGAACAAAAATATCAAAACATATTAATCCTGTACAATGCTGTTATTTTGTATGAATATTTGTGTCTTTTTAAAAATCTAAAAAATCACCAACTCAGAGTCCCATCATGATCATACACATGATCTTTTGGCAAGAAAATAAAACTAATTTTGTGTACAGTTTGTTTGCTTGTTCACAGAAAATCCATAACTATCCAAAATATATGAACACCATCGAAATAAACATGTTCGTGTTCAAATGCAAAAGCTGTTACTGAACATCACATACGTAATCTTATTTTGAAATTGTACGCTTTTGAAAGCTATTCTAAAATAAAATCAATGTTGCCATATGTGATGAACACAGAAAAAAACTTTTTCGAATCCCCAAAGCAAACCAGCGTCTGATGAATCTTGAGATTTACGAACTTCAGAAGTGTGAATACATCATTTAGGCGTCCACAGCGTTCAAAATTGTGTATGCCTATTTATATATTATCCATCCTGAACTATCCTTATATATAAAGAAGATCATTCATTACGTCCACAAAGTAGGAAGTATAGTTTCGTTAATCCTTTTTAAATAGACATTACAAACTTTCGCGTGTAGTCTTTCCGGCCATGACTACTAACGTCATTTCTGTTAATAATAAAAAAAAACATTTGATATTTTTCAAATATAAAACAACAGATTTTCGAATATTAGAAAAAGTATCTATCACCGCGCAATAAACTGTAGAATTATCACAAGATAAAAGTCTGTCTAGAATTGATCTAAAATTAAAGAGAGGGGGCCACAAATTGTACTGACCTGTACATGTTGTATAGGGCTATTCAAACGGGATATTGGGTATTCTTGGAAATTCATTAACCTTTGATTGCAATTTCCTTTAGTTTTATGGCCTGTCGACCTGTCAGACATTTCCAAAGAACTGAGCCTAAACTTTTCTTGTTTATCATTTGTGATTAAGAAGAACTTCTCTTTTATTTTTATTGTTATATTAAAGGATACTATTCTCTGACTACAATATTTGCAACATGGAATTTTGGCAATTATTTCCGTATGAAATGAATTATCAACTATATAAGATACTATTGAGTGTTTTAGATTGTCCTTGGGTTGATGTAAATTTCACAGAAGATAACTTTCAGTCTGAACAGCATGCCATTTTATTATATTTCTATGGTCCCGAAGACATGCTCAATGTAGTTAGAGAGTAGATACCCATGTCATAAATAAAGATCGAACATCATAGAAATAAGAACACCTTCTTTAATTTTAGCCCGCTTTAATTGACATACAGGAATCTTTATCAAGCATTAAGTAATGCAAACATTATATGAAGGGGTAGTCTATAATATGTTTGTTTATTTATCTTACTTCATGTACTACTAAATGACATTCAAAGATTATGGTATAGCATACAATCAATAGTTTAATCATCATCGATATAATATACAGTATATAGCATCATAAAATCAGGATGTAATTTTAAGATGCAATCACTGATCCAAGTACTGATTTGTAAATACAAACCATTTATATTATTTATATCTTAAATTATACTTTCGGTCATTGATTTTGTTTATTGATATACATGTCTTGTTATTTAAGATTAATGTGTATTTTTAAGGGAATTCTATTGGCATTTCTTAAAATAGCTCCATATTACTATACATTTTAATTCCAATCAATACTATTAGCATAGACATAAAAGCAACGAAGTTAGAAGGTTAACATTGACCTTTTGATGATATGTAGGTACAAGAAATATATTTCTCTCGCTTCTGGTCAAAACATATTACGCAGAACCCTCTCTTTATCGTTAACCGATAACCGTGACTTCTTCGGTGATAAGTATACGCAAAATACCTCTACAGTAACTTTATCTACATGTTCGTGTAACCTCACCAACATGACATCTTTATTCAAGCATTAAATCTTAACAAAGTTCACGACTTCTTTTCTTTCGTTCAACCATATTCTCTACCAATTTACATTGACATTAACATTAGTTTGAATACTATCCTATATTTCATTCCATGCAAATACATGAAAATTATAAATTCATTAAAAATGCAGAGTGTGCCACAATCGAAGGTATATTTGAAATATACATTATAGTTGTAATGAAGAATTGACTATTAAGATAATGGTGAAATATGCAGTGATTTGATTAATTAATAACCAATTGAACTGCATACCCGGACAACTTTTTTTCTCTCATAAAAGAAACTTTGATGGCACTTACTTTCTTAGTTACTAGTAGTAATTTTAAAATATTTGAGTATTAATACCACTTTGTAAGTTATTACTCATCCGAATTTACCAATGAGTTCAATGATAGCACAGTTAGATTAGATTATAAGTGTTCTTTCAAGTACCGGCACATAATACATTGACTGTATCCAACTTTTTTATTTTTTTTTTATTTCAGTTTTTTTTAGAAGTAAAGAACATGTAAGGCATACGGTCAGGACAAGGGAAGTTTTGCCATGACCTATCTTGTCCATAGTTGGGGCTAAGTAGTTTTTCTACGATTTATGCTACTTTATTCATTCAAACTATTCGTAACATCACAAGAATTTGACCTCGTATTTGAGTCTCGTTCCCAGGTTAAGGAAAGCATTAAGAAACGACAATCATTTTTATATCATTTCATCAATGATATACACGTAAGTGGTTAAACCTAAACAGGATAGTCACAATGTTGTTTGTAGCTGAAAACGCATTCAGTTCATTCGTCGACACGTACATATATGTAAAAACGCAATTGAAGAAATAATTTTCAACCTTCGTTATTCGAATCGGCCCGAATCTTGACATCATTTAACAAAGAGTACTGAAGTCAAAGTCAAACCTTGTACAACTCTATTGCAAAGGGCCGCTGACCTTGCTATTAGAATTTTCTATGACTGGTTATCGCCAAGTGGACAAATACATTATACGCTACACTGGTTGCAAAAAAAAGAAACAACATTATTCACGAAACACTAAAAAGACGAAAAATTACTACTGGACTCATACTTGAAAGAAAAATATAACAAAGAAGCAAAGTGACCACGAAAGACACAAATATCCATAATAATAACAATGCAATATACCTACATGATAGCGTTATGTTCCTTTGAGAGGGTTACTTATTATTTCACTAATACACGTAGATGAAAAACTTTTTATACGACTTAAACACCTAAAGGATCGTCTTAGGATAGCAACATTTAATCGTCGTCGTGTGAAGCAATACAATATTAATTCGACCGTTACATTATTGAACTTCTACGAATATTGAGATGTTAGGTTGAATAAAATAAGGTCACGTATCGACCAATTAAAGTGTAGCACAATATAAGACTATAAATTTAGCTTTATACGTGTGGGAATTTCCTACCACAAATAAACATGATCTTGACATGATTAACTTGGTTTTGTTGGACAAATTGCAGTGGTCTGTTTTGATCGCGTCCAATGCGAGAAAGCTTGATTACCTTAACGGCCTATGTTGATGTCTTGAAGAAAGTCGTCAACGCCAGTGCTTTATTCGATTTCCCTCGCCCTTTGTCATGGCCCTAAGGAGTACAAAAATAACATCTTGGAAAGAACTAGTCTAAATTTTCACGATACGTACTCCGATTTGTTTTTTATTTTTAAAAGGGTAACGAGTTGATGTCATGTCATACTTGAGCTTACGGACAATAAATGGTTACATAAATCCGGCAGTAGTATGTGATGAACGAGCTCTAGTTTTAGCGTTACAAATTAATACACCTACATCGTGTCCTTGGTATACTTGACTATTGGTAAACAATAGTATATACTTAAAAGCCAATCATAAATATAATGGAAAGTCCCCTATGATTATATTTTGTTTTGGATCTGTATACAAGTTTTTGATGTATACAGTGCTAAAAACAACTGGAGTTTATTCGGATGAAGCTTGATTTAAATTGTTTTCTATTGAAGACATTATGACATCATACCTGTCTAGAAAATATTTGGTTACTTGTCCAAAACAACAAATTTCGGATCAATAGTTGGAAATTCTTTCATGGGGGCAAATTTTGTTCGATTCTAACTGGTGGTGTAGGTTCAAAATACTTTACCTCCTTTCATAGACTTGTTATTATTGTAAACAGTAGTCTCTTTCAACGATATATAATATATGCATAACTGATATCATACATACATCAAATAAACAGTATGGGGGTTATGTTAACTTTGCATACTATATATTGACCTGTTTGTATCCGACTACATAACTTATAATAGTATAGCTCAAATTCAAGGTTTACAACTTTGACTTGTGAGTAAATAATTACTTTTTATGATTGTGAACACAGAATGTCACATAAATATATGCTACACAAAGGGTATATGGAATATTATGTAAAATGACCATGAGTTGATAAGATCAATCAATATTAAGCTAGTGAGAACAAAATGGATTTTCGGGTGGTATAAAACGGTTACGTCTTTAAGGAAACTTGATAGGTCTGATGAAATTTTTCAAGAAAATTATACATGTATTAGTATTGAGTGTTGAAAGAAATGAATATTTTTATGTATGTAATTGTAATAATAGTTTTTATCTTGGTTTATGAAACACACACTGATCTGAATTGTTGTTAAGGTCTTGATGTTTATTGGAGCACTATTTATGTAAATAGAATAAATCAAATAAAACCAATACTGATCCAATGGATGTTTGAATATTCGAATCTGATGACCTGCAAACATATTGAGGACATTTACGATCTGTACTGAAACATAGCAAACCATACTAACCATTTATTGTGTTAAATACTGTAATTTTAAATACTTGATCGTATGTCATGATAAATTGAAAAATATATACATAGCAATCAGTGATATGTACACTACGAAATATAATGTATTAATACGTTATAACGTTTATCAGTGTACACGTTACAATACTAAATGCCTTATGAAACTATGTATTCTTTCAAATATTTTAAACCATCCTTACAATTGATTGAAAATGAAAAGAAAGAAATATGGGTACAAAGATTGTTTTTAAATAATTTCTGTAATTTGTGGTTAATTGTTATTAAAGTTTGTATTTTATTTTATTGATGCAACTGTAGTCTATTAACGGTATTTATTATTTCCGTGATGAGTTTCAATCGATATATAGATCCTAGACATGTCTTCACATACATTGTATCACTATTGTCATATAGACAATTCTATTGAATAGACAAACTTGAAATATGCCCCAGACGTCTTGACCTCTATCGACCTGTGCGAAATTGATGATTAGGTCGGCTTCTTTGATAAGATAAGTAAAATATGTGTGAATTGAGATACATTCCGTCGGGTACAAATTATTTTTAACGAAGACAAATGGAAGAGTATAAACGACTTACCGATTTCGAAGTTCTATAGTAAAATAAACGAGATTTCCATCAAAAAGGAGTGTTCATATCCATATCCGACTCCTAATTCGGGGAAGTAGGCCAGATTTACTGATCAAGACGTAGGCATAGGATTATCCTTACAGGTGTATGTAGAGACACTGTCATAATATACTTTGACCTAGATATGAAACAGAGGCTTAATAATATATACTGCTCAAGTATATTTGATAAATTATATCTGTATCGAAATTTAAAGCGACAGTGACTATCTGTCATTTATTAAGATACCATCCCCTTGACAGATGAGTCATGGTTCTAATAATATATATGTACTAGGCCTAATATTTTTAAGATGATTTCATGCTATATGAACAATATTAAAAACATTTTCTGTGTAGAGGCTTGGGTCGCTTACCGAGGAAATAAATAAAATCATTTGATATGGACAGGAAATAACAACCAACAACAAACATATGTGTAGGAGACGGGGGTTGGTGGTTGTTAGGGGGTGGGGCGTATATTTCGGGCAGTGACGAAAACAATATTGGGCAACAACCCGAAAACAAGAAAAATCCGGGTAATATTCTTTAGAAAACGTTGCCCTCTCAAGAGGCCTGCGGCGCGTACGCCTGTGAGATCAAAGACCGGAAACGATCCTTAAAAGCAATAAAAATATGAGATCTGTTACCTTAAATTGGATTTAAAGGCTTAATTGGTTAATTTATGGAAGGGATAGGCCTTCAAGAAAACATCCATAGAAAAACCTAAACCATAGTTATCAATATTATCCTGCATAGCCTAGTTTAAAAGTCTCTACCCTCGGACTGTATGATTATAATTAGTCGGTTAAACGGGAAACCCCCGCCACCGTGACGTTCCAAATTTTCCAACTCTAACTGTGACGTAAAAAATTTAATAGCAACTGTAACGTCACAATAGATAATACGATAGGCTTGTGTATAAAAGTTTCAGTAAAAGGTAAGATTGATAACTCTTAAATTAAAACCCGTTGAAAAAGAGCAACACATTAATTGAACCATTTGCCATTTAATATAGAAACGAATCGAATAGGATAGAGCTAAAGAAATGTAACATCATTTCAGTTTTAGCTACATCTATACATTTATAAGACTTCATTATGTTTTATGAAATGGTGTGGTAATGTTTCTTTTCGATGATATGAAAGGGGTTCTAGTAGAAATATTATGATTGGTCCCATGTGATGAATGGCCAGAAAAAGACATTTGCATTTCTATGAAATTATCTAATTCTGAAACATGTAATATAAAAATGATAAATTTTACCGCATCTATAAGCAGTATTCGTTTAACAACCTGTAAAACACTAGGAAAAACTAGGAATTTTACTCACTATTTCTATACACATTTCCTATGTATATGTTTTTCTATATATCTCAGAGTATCTTATCCTGACGATTCATCATTTTAACATTCAAACACAGATTATTCTGGACACGCATGGATTTGAAGGCTAAAATTTCAACAGTGAGCTGTGAACACTATTACTGATTGGTTTAGTTAAAAAATTCCCGTTTCTGAGACTAAAATATGATTGGTAAGAAATGGCCCAGCTGCCCCTTTAAATAGTGATTCATATAATGCCTATCTTTTTATCTTTATAATTCTGTTTTGTAGATCAAAGTAATCTTGTTTACTTCAAAAAGGTAGCCTTTAGATATTTCCGTAGTTTGTGTTAAAATCATCAATGGCCGTAGCTAAAGCAGTTAATTTTGATCAAGCAGAGTCTTCCAATGAGATATTGTCAACATTTTTCTCACAAACGGTAATTTATATGTATATTCGCTTAATCGAAATTCAATGATAAATGAGAATATTAACAGCATGTTTCATGGTTCATATTTTTTATATACAAGAATAACTTTAGATGCACATTTGTAACATTATGTAGACGAAGGCAGCATTTTCTATAGCTGTGATTACGATACGATATGAAAACAGGGGTAGTTTTCATGCTTTAAAGAAGACGGGTTAAGAAAATGAAAATGCTGATTACTTAGATAAATAGAAACTAGAGGTGTTCTGATGACTTAGAAAATACCAGTTTGTCTCACGTGTCCATAATTAATTCATAATTAGCTAAATTAGAATAGAATAACCAGCAGAATTCCAATGTGTGACCGATCAAGAAAGGTCAAAAAGTCTTTTTTAATTTTATCCAGACTGTACATACATGGGCATTTATGGTTGGTTAAAACTCTTAATTATGTGCAATAAGGACATAATGATATGATTAAGAATACATGATAGTTCATTAGAAACATCAATTAATGAGATAGCTTGCTTAATTTGACACTATAAAAATAAGGAAACCCATCTTTAAAAGGGAGATGACTCTATAAATCGAATATGAAGCAAACTTCCGTTGAAAAAAGACATTCTTATCGCTCATTTACTTTGCTATGGGAATATCCTGATCCCAGTCTATAAAAGATACCTTTCGTTGGGTTTGGGCTAAAATAAATGTGCATATCAATAAGGATCGGCTCATGGATTATGCCTTTTTATACGCCCACACGTAAGTATGGGCGTATATTGTGGTTGCCCCTGTCGGTCCGTCGGTCCGTCCGTTCACATTTACCTCGTGCTCACTTTACAGGCTACAATTCTCTATAGATTCTTTTGTACGTGTGTCAATATCATTATGAAGATGTGCACTATTGAATTTTGTGATGATCCGATGATTTTCTTGAGAGATATCGCATAAAACTCTGATATCGCGTTCGGTTTTTTTCTTCACTTTTTTGGCTCGTGCTCACTCTACAGACTACAATTCTATATTGATTCTTTTGATCTTTTGTACGTGTGTCAATATCATTATGAAGATTCGCACTATTGAATTTGGTGAGGATCCGCTGATTTCCTTGAGAGATATCGCATACAACTCTGATATCGCGTTTTTTAAACTTTTTTTTAGCTCGTGCTCACTCTACAGGTTACGATATAGAGTTTGTTTTACAGTTCACATTTAGCTATATCAAGCTGCTGGTGGGCGTATTCGCTTGCGAGACTTGCCGCAAGCCTATGTTTTAACTTTCCGTTGTAAATGTGTTCATTCAAAGAAGTTTTTCACAAGTTAGCAAGATCTATTCGCGCCTACGTGTTAACTTATATTTGATGCGTCTGAGTTGTGGGATTTTTCGTACGACCCACATGGTATTTCGTTTGCTAAATAAACATACGTGTTATGATTATGTTGCAGGTGCAGTGTGAAAGAGTAGCCAACTCTCTATTAAATTATATTAAATCTTTAAGATCAATGAGAGATGCTAGTCGCCATGTTACATCATCCATGATGCAGCTATGTCCAGCTAATTGGACCGGTCAAAATAGAGATAAACTCGCTGATTGTTTGGAGGTATGTGGACCACCGTTTGGAATAATAAAACCATTCCTGGCAAATGGGCGAATCTATATAACATCTCGAAAGAAGTCGAAATCTATTAGTTATTCGAGTTCGAATATCAGCTTTATAACAGTACCTTTGTACGGTGCACACTAAACGATTTTTTGGCATTACTTTTTTATTATCGCTAATATCTATACTGTCAAAACCAGTCTCTCAAAGTATTTCAGTGCTATCAGTCACTAATATAGATAGTATGGTGATGATCCAAAATCTTATCAGTCCTTCATGTATTTATTTTACAATTTTTCAGGATCAAGGTGAAGTTTTGAATATTGCTGAAGGATTAATCAGAGCCATATTTCCCACATTAAAACGACATCATATGTGTATCAATGACATTCAGGTAGGTTATGTAGTCCTCAAACTCTGTCTTTTTTCGTCAATATCCATCATAGGAAACGACAGGCATTAAAAAAGATGTCTGCATCAATACAGAAATGATTCTACAGATCGAATAAGGAAGAAAAAAGTGATTTCTGATTTTTTGTCTTCGAATGTCCCCGGTACAAAAGCAAATTCTAAACTTAAAACTCAAATTAAAGATCAAATTATTTTTTTGTTTCAGAGTATTCTTCTCGACTTGGAAAGAAAGATGCTTGAAAATAATGAAATGCATCGTGAATTTGAGGTAACTATTCTTTTTGTGCGGTTACATTCCTGTTATGAAGTGTAATGAGAAAATTGATTTATTTTCAATCAAGAGACATTCTGGTCGATAATCAAACATAAACAGATTATATAAAAAGCATCAGCTACTTTCTGACTAAGTGCTATGGGAACATTTAAGCATCAGTTTTCGTAGAAAATCGTCATGTACGAATTGTTGTGACATGCTATTAACGATGAAATTAACACTTGCTACTCGCGGGATCCATGAAATACATAATATTTCTAATATTCCATTTAATTACAGCTAATGAAAATAAACCACAGATTAACACGACAGCAAGAAGAGCAGGTAATGATTTTAGAGTATAGGATTGTAGCATTCTTAGAAGATTTTGATAGGAATTTTAAGGAAATAAAATTAACGAGTCGTATCTATTCATAAAGTTGAGCCCAGTTTATATTCGCTTTTCGGAAGAAAGTTTTAAGTGATGATCATATTTCATTCTATGAAACCAAATTGAAGCTTCTATCCGCCTACATAAATGATTTAAAGCTTGGTTCCCATTTTCATGTATTTATATATGTCTATTCCATTATTGTACGGTTAATACTTATATAAATTGAAAGCAAAGGTGTTCTAATGATTTGGAAATATGCCAGTTTGTCTCAGAAGTCTATAATTAAACTCGTAATTAGATAATTACAATTCCAATGATCGAGCGGTCACTTGATAAAGATTATCAGGTCTCACAATTTCCATAAGGGAAATAACCCTAGGTGTGCCTTTTCATAACAGAACATTACCAAAAAAGCAAACAACAACCGAAAAATTTAAAATTTCAATGGTTATGTTTCCAAAATAGGGAAAAGACGATGTTTTTAAATACACAGTGTAATTAATTACATTATTTCTAACATACAAATATGTCTACAAACATGGTTTGACTAATAATTTTTTATACTAAAATGTGGCCAGATTATCACAATCTATTTTAGTCAGTGAGTAAACAAGGAATCTATTTTTAGCTTTTTCAATCCGTAAATTTGATCCCCAAGCTTTTCTACATCTTCACACAATCTTAACATTCAAGAGTACTTAATTTATTCATTAGAAACATCAAATGATCAAACAATAAGCATGATTTGACCAAGAAAAATGGCAACTTTAAAGATGGATTGTCATATTTTTATTTATGTCCATAATTAATTCATAATTAGCTAAATTAGAAGAAAATTACCAGCAAAATTCCAATGAGTGACCGATCAAGAAAGGTTAAAAAGTCTTTATTGTTTATTCTGACTGTTCATACATGGACATTTATGATTGGTTAAAAACTCTTAATTATATGCAATAAGAATATAATGATATTATTAAGAATACAAATAGTATGCTTGATTTTACACTAGAAAATAAGGAAACCCATCTTTAATGGCATATGTGCTGAAAAGTTACTGAAACGTTCACGATTTAGTTTGTTCAAAGTGGATTTTACAAGTTTTATGTTACAGATACGGTTTATGCTGCGTGATACTGATAGAGCTATAGATCTTATATCTGGAGAAGTTGCAGAACGTTTGAATGGAATGGATGAAAGGTATGTTTCAAGAATCTCCCAACCCTTTAGGGCTGTGGCATTGTATTGTACTTTGGACGAGCATCTCCATTTATATTTTTCAAGTATAAGTCTCATATCAGCAGCGATTTGTCTCATGTCAACAACTTCTGGACGTCCCACAACATTTCTCATACTTGGCTGTTACAGATAGTTGTTTAGCTTTAACTCAATTTCAGCAAATTCTTGACGATCTTTTATCCGAATGATAATTCACAAATGTATATACTTGTTGCTATTTTTTTATTATTTAAAATGGCAAATATTGTCCCTATTACTGAACTATCCTATTGTAAATATTTAATTTCAGTACCTTTACTATAGTTAAAGATGTTCTCATGAAGTTTGAAGAAGTCCAGGAAATTATATCGTCAGAAAATTTGGAGGTAGATGGCATGTTCTTAAAATTGGCATTTAGCAGATGGAACGTATTTAAAGCAGACATTAGGTGTTGGGCGCTTTTATATATTGTGCAGTGTCACTGACTCCAACAGTCATTTTCTGCTGACAATTTTGAGTTCTATGGATTTTATATTCTGGGGTACTTTAAGAAGACCCTTCCTCATTTCTTTCTGTATGCTGAATCTCCACAGGCTGTCCACTTGCCTCTATTTCGAGATGACGCCTTTAAGCATCAAATATGGCGTTCTCAGTATTTTAGATCATAATTGAAATACGAGTAGCTTCAGCGCTTAGAATCCTGTAACATTGAACATATTTGTCCCTTTCCATTGAAGCAACTTAAAATTCACAAAATTATTTTTCGCCTTCGGATGCCTTATTTCCTTTACTTTTAGATTGTACAAATTGTCGACGGTTTAGTCAAAACCTTGCCTAAACCAGGACCCAAGTTCTCGCGATTAAGTCAGGACGATTGTAATGAAATCATCAAAACGTTTAAAGTACACAATTTTCAATTGCTGGAGACGCAGGAGACCATGATGGAAAATAGAAAAGAAAGGGCGTCGTTAGATAAGGTTTCTGTGAAAGGTAATAATGTATACTGAAACTGTTGGCAGCCATTCTAATCAATAGCGAGTATTAATCTCATATTTTGTAGAATCTGTAGACTGGAGTAGACCACATTTAAAGATGGGTTTCCTTATTTTTTAGTGTCAAATTAAGCAACCTATTTGATTAATTGGTGTTTCTAATGAATTACCATGTATTCTTTATCATATCATTATTTTCTTATATTGCATATAATTTAAGTTTTAACCAATCATAAATGTCCAAGTATGTACAGTCTGGATAAACAAAAAGACTTTTTGACCTTTTTTGATCGGTTACTCATTGGAATTCGGCTGGTAATTCTCTTCTAATTTAGCTAATTATGAATGGACATGTGAGACAAACTGGTATTTTTCCAAGTCATTAGAACATCTCTACTTTCTATTCATATAAGTATTAGCATTTTGATTTTCATTAATGAAAATGAGGGAACCCATTTTTAATGAGGAGCATATTATTAAATTTTGGATTTCCTAGATCACATGTATTTCCATAATAATTTCTAATCACGTTTACTCACGATTTACTGACTTCAATTTCAGAAAGATTACGGGTTGGAATAATAAACATGGCTCAATCATCGCATCGTGACTTGGAAAGTGAGTTACAAGAACTATCCCACGAACTTGAGAATCAAGCGTATTCTACTGCTGCTGAAACGACTTCTGCCCAAGAAAGTGAAAGAACAGCAGATGACAAAACAAACAGTAATACATCACCAGGTTATACAACGTCAGGTGGTGAAACTTCTAGTAGGATATCAATGAGTGAGGTAACAGAAGATACAACAGGAGGAACAGGTGAATTGTCTATCGTGGAAGAAAATGAAACTGAAAACAAACCCAAAATGCCTAAGGCAGTGCACGAATATGAAGAGGCACGTCAAGCCGGAAGCCAACAGTTACTTTATCAACGAGATCCAAATGCAAATGCAAATGTTACACCTGTGTCATCTAAGATGACAAAAAAAGTGTAAGAAGCTGTGAAATAGGGGTAGGCTAATTTCCAATGGGAATGTTTTATTTTATGTGATTCAGATGTTTGCTGACCAGACTGTTTCACGCTTGGTTGAATAAATGTTTGTTTTTTTCAAGCTCATACATTGTAGGATTTATTAAATGAATTTTCCTTTGCCAAATGAATACATTTGATATTATTTTCATAAATCTTTTCTTTGCAAACTTTCAGATTAAGCCCCGAAGTCCACGACTACATGCTTTATTGAATTTGAGCTCCAACTGATATACTGCGGCGTGTGTCGCTCTTGATCACTTTTTAACATTCTTTGTTTATCAACTTGACAGGGGTCCATAATTAGTAATATTGTTTGTCTGGTATTACATAGGCCAAAGCAATAAGTATAATATTTCAAAATTGAGCTTTTTTTTTTATCTTTTCAGCGTTTCAACTTTGTTGCTCGTAACACAATTTATAGAAGATATTTTTCTAAATTGTTTGTGTTGAATGTTTTTTATGTCTTTGATTTTTTTAGAATCATGCTGCAAACATTTTACAAATTCGATGTTTAAAAAGAAATTTGTGTTGATTACATATCGGTATTTCATCCAGAGGACCTTCATAGATAATAAGTTCTCAAACTTGATCAATGTTATGTCATATAGGATCTACTTTCGTCAGATTTAAGTGTGCCTTCTTTATTTTAACGCAATTTAATTTTAATCATTTTTTTATATCATATATTATACGAATTTCCGAATTTCCGAGCAATTTAGTAGTCAATTATAAGAGATATGACAGATCAAGGTAGCTCAAAATGAAGGTCGCTCTAAAAATGAATTTGTATTTGCGTTTTTTAAGTTAATATCTGTGAAATATTAAAGATCACTTTCGTTGACATATTTTTCTGCTTAATTGTTCTCTGTGTTATTATTATTTTGTTCTAATTTTATTCCTATTCATGGTTGATACTCATTCATGTTTCATGATATCTGCGATATGTAATATAGTATTTGTATTCGATAATTTTATACAAAAATATTTTGTACTAAATCTCTCATTTATGGATGACTCTTACTTCACTGAACATCAAAATTACGACCAGACAAAAGTTAAGCTTAATGAATAATTCACATAATATTAATATATCACTAGTCTTCAGAGGCAGAAAATGGAAAATCAACTCAAAGGGAGACAACAATGAAACAATTCCACCACTCATCATGAAAACAAAACATTCACAAACATGTATATGTATTGACACTGAGCGAGTGGATTATTGAATTCGGTTATAAACGAATAGAAACATTCGACTTACTTTGCTTCGATTCGGTTCGGCTTGCTTACGAACTGCAATCTGGAAAGCAAACTTTCGCACTGCCGAAGTGGAGAGATCCTGCACCTAAGTGCGAAGTTTCCAGTAACACGTCATGTAACGTGATTAAACATAAAATATGAACATGATAGCAATATCCAAGGTATCATTATAATTTATAAACCCGTTCTTGTGATTTTCAATCATTTTCGGTAAAACAACCGTGCCAAAATTAGACACCATTTTTAAATTGTTTATTCTCATGATATTCTTATTCGTTCTTGTTGGTTGCGCACTGTCTCGTTTCCAGGCGAAATCCAGCTTAACGTAGATTTTTCTGCCTTCATAACTTCTGGTTTAACCCAATAAATATATTTGCGAGAACAAAAGCAACGGGAAATTATTTGGATAGAAGTATATATAAGCAAATTACTTTTGCAGTGCGGCAGTTGCAGGTTTCTTTTTTGAGAACAAGAGAACTAAACGAATTATTCCCCCTGTAGTGATTCAATGGAAATGATTCGTTGAGATTTTTTAAACAGATTATTCTATGGAATGTTTAAATTTTGATTTAGAGTATACGAATTATAAAACATCGACAGCAATCCGCATTGCGATTAGCAATGATTCGATTAGATTCGATGCAACCAATACATCATGAATAACATGGTCAGTAGCAGTCCTTATATTCTAGATGACAGTGTTTTTACCCTATCACGAAAGCTTCATGTTTCATTTTCTAGTATTTGATTGATTTACGTTCCTATATCCATCATCAAAGTAATGCCTCGTCCTACTTTACGCGATTCTGAAAGTTCTTTAACAATTTTTGATTCAAGTAATACATCACTACATTTCTCTCCTATATCAGTCTCTACTTCATCCATTGTGAGATCTGTATTCAGAGTATTTGATAATGTTTTAACTAAAAGACCTGTAAATGCTGCTAAAAGGAAGCTGGTTCCTGAAAAAACCAAACCAATTTAGTAGATAAGCTTATAATACATTGTGTTCTTGTAGTTGCACTGTCAATCAACTCATCCAGAAAACCTTTTGAACTGCATGGAAAAATAATCGCGGGAGGTTTACGGTTTGACCTTATTTTGCTTGGTAATGCCATGGTGAAATGCTGTGGTCTATAGCTTATAGTGGTATTGAATAATGTAAGATAAACCTACCGGCGAATACAAATGCGAAATAGAAGTCGTCATATTCTATCACAACCATTTCTACAAAATACAACAAATGCAATTCATAATGGAAAACGTACAATACATACCATCTTAACGTCTAAAACGGACTCGATAAATTTGTGGTCGGAACTGGTAGCGCGAGTTGGCGTCTGAAAATATGGAATATAATATGGTTCAAAAAATTGAAGATTAGAGCACCATTCTTTTTGTCTCAAAAGGCTTTTATTTATATAATTATTTATGACTAAGAAGATGACTTGTTAGAACCTCGTGGTCACATGCCCCTACGAATCAAAAGGTCAATGCCAAATGTATTGTAAACCTAAGAATAACCAGTCGCATCATGAACACTGCTAATGGTGGACCAGTGAAATATCCTATACCACAAAATACCATCCCTATACCCATAGCATCTGATAATTTACCAATGCCTACAGTTTCTACTAGTATAGTATAATGTAAAACCCAGCATGCACCAGTATAAAATCCAAACATGGACGTGAAAAAAAGTTTACTAGGTAAAGTTGTCATGTACTTAACAAAATATGTAATAATACCCATAATTCCAAAAGTTCCACCATAAACGATGGCAGAATTCACTAGTTGTGTCAAAAAGCCAAGCAATACTCGAGCTACAACACCTGTCACGCCTGCTATAGATAAAATAAAAGCAGCTTCCATCGAAGATGAACCAAGATGGCGGAAATAGTCTGGTAGAAAGAGATATATTATTGATTGGCCCATATTAAATGCAACAGAGCTGATCAAAAACAAACAGAACTGCATAGATTTCAACATTATACACAGTCTTGTGAAACAGTGCAATTCCGGGTCTAAACTCACTTTTTCATCATGTTCCGAACGTTTACCACCACAGAACAGTCTTCGTTTCGCCACAATCTCAAACTCTGTCGGTCTCATCAGAGCACCACAGACAGTCGATTGGAATCCTAAAGCACCAAGGAGAAGAAAGGCACCGTTTAAACCATATCTGTCGACAAAGAGTTGGCTTATAGGAGGGAACACAAAGGTACAAAGTCCACAACCACATAAAGCAATCCCCGAAGCCATACTAGCTTTGTGTTTAAAATAATACCCTAAGGTAACCATGGAACCTGTGTAGCAGATAGCTTGGCCTGTTCCTGTAATATCAGATAAGAAAGAATGTTTTCATAAAAGAGTTTTTTAATGCTATATTGTGGTAAAGATGATGCGCTTTTGTTATACATCAACAATATAAGATCGATGCATTTGTTCTATCGAGACAACATTTGATGTTTTGGATAAATTACTGATTAAAATATACTTTGAACTTCACTTTAAGTCTTAAAGGTTATATTGCTTATATGGACACATCGGAACAACGTTATCTATATTATCACTTATGTAATTAATAAAGAAGACATGGATCCCCCCAAAAAGGTATATGCGAACGATGTACATTTAGAATATTAAGGTTTCATATTCCACATTTTTGTATTTGCATCAGAATCCAGAATACGGTCAATAAAAGCACAAGCAACTGGAGAAGGCATTAGCCTACTACGACAATTCATGTTATCAGATATATCAGACATAGCTCTTTTGGGAGAGTGAAAATATATCTCACCTCCAATAAGACTGTAGGTTATAAAGAGGTATCTCATGTCTGTTACAATACTGCTTAGTGAGAAACCAATTAAAGTGACCACACCACTCACCATAACACAGACTCGCACATTAAACATATTGATCAATATCGTTCCCATAAAACCTGGAACAAGACACAATCATCAGTCGTATTCAATCTCATTTAGATTGTTATCAGATTGTTATCCAGAATAAATGATGTAGCTTACAAAAATAACACCAACCGATAAAATATAAAAACTTCAGATAGTGTCACTTACTATGCTTATGCAATTCAACAAACGTCGATAGGTCACATCCCAAAGAATAGCAAGAGCCCATGGAACTATTAATCAAATCTACTACGATTCAATTTACAAAAATGTAAATATAAGTGAACAAAGGTTGGTTAAATGTCCAATCATTATGCATAAGCTTGCCAAAATGATTTCGAGACTTAAAAAAATCGCAAAAATTGAAAACGTTATAGATTTTAAGGCCACTATCATGTTCATTACCTTATTTATAATGTGGTTGTATGAGAAATATGAATGGAATGCTGGCAGGCGGTTTTGTAATGACCAGTGACCCCTTCATCATTATAAGTTCTCTTTTTATATGTCACTCAAATAATCTAGCAAACAACTCTCTTCAATTCACACGGATTCGCCCTATTTATTGAAGTGACCTGGTTTATTTATCCAACAAATTTTAGGTTTGTCAAAATAGTATCATAGTTGAAACCTGCGTTTCTTTTGGTGCGTAGCTTTGAAAAACTTACCAGAAATAGCAAACATGCTGGAAAATAATGAACCTAGCCATGATATGGTCTGAATATCTTCATCTACATAAGTATCTAACAGGGCAATGTGGATGACGCCGACAGAATAGTTCAATGAGGAGTTAAAAAACAACGAAAAGAAGGAAGCTGTCAGAACAATCCAAGCGAATGGTTTGATTTCTTCCATGTTTAACCTTTAAACTGAAATACAATATTAAATGAATGAATCAAAATTTGCTAAACCAAATGAAGGACAATCACAAGCTTCGTTGATTCAATGATATCTCAACATTGTAATCTCACCACTAAACATCTTCATCATCTTCTTATCACAACCTTACTTATATCGCATCATGTCATTAAAGTTATATGTTGCAGAGAATAATTTGTAACAGGTCCCTGTTCGAAAAGAATGTAACTTTTTCATGCACTGAATAAACTTATTGTCCAATCTCTAATCTTTTCGATCTTGATTTTGATTAATGGTTATCACATATACGTTGGTTTAATACTAGCATTTGCTGTTGTTTCGATTGTGCTGAGTCAGTGTTTGGTATCGCCGTAACTTTCGTTTTTTTTAGTATCACGTGACTCACGTGCAACTCATTCGTCGATGCTAATTATGAACTAATTATGGACAAACTGGAATTGTGTAACTTGTATTGTTTACCTGCCTGCCTTTATCACCAGGAGAAAGCTATGGTCCCATAAACTTATCGAAATCGTATAATCGCCAATACAAGAGAAAATGACTATAGGAGAGACTAGAATTTTTCAATAAATATATTCGTAAAATCATTTATTCAGTTAGCATCACCCTCTCTGACTTTTTGCATCTTAGCAATTGATGACGCCCATTATACCTGGATACGAGGATATAGTCTGGCACTTTTCATTTCATTTTTTGTTAAGACTCTTTCAAGGGAATTAAAATTCTAAGACATTGTCAAATTCACTGAATTATTTTAATTTATGTTTCCCGTCACCAAAACAGATGTGGATTTCCAACCAATCAGATTCAATAGCATTGTAGTCTCGATCAATTACAAAGAATTTAGGCAACCGGTATAGTCATCTTTCGTCGAAGTTGTGCGAAGACAAAGAGGGACTGGATGATAGAGGCTACAATTGAAACTGTTGATCATATATATATTCGATGTAAATAAACACAAACATTATGGAACCATGTAAATGAACAGAAAGTAATGAAAATGTGATTAATTTTAATGAAAAGTCTATATATTTAGCGTCAATTCAAAAATAACAATATGATCTTTTAAAATATATATGAAATGGTATTGTCTATCCCAATTTGCTTACTGTTGCCTATTGTTGTTGTTGTTGTTGTTGTCATACTACAATATTGCATGAGGGGCTTGGCGTAATGATACCACTTCGCCGTAATATACTGTCAGTAGTCCTCAATCAGTGATATCAGTATGAATTAAAATGCTTAAATATTACCAAATAACCAAATGTACCTTGGAGCCCCACTAAGAACTAAAAATACTAACCTGGTCAATATGATTCACCATGCCAAGCTGTAATAAAATTTGCTTTTTCAGCGAATCTTACTTCTAATCAATTAGTAATAATTAGTTAAATAATATTAAGTAATTGCTATAACATGGAACACATGACTAATGGAGATTGTGTTCACTCGAAGAGAAATGATCGTATCGATTTGACACAAAAGAAAATGGTGTATTATTCTTGTTCTTAAACACCAGAAGACGGATGTATTTCAACGTATACGTCCATTATTAAAGATATCGATCCATAAAGACTCCAAGTCAAAAACCACCTTCATTACACTTTGTCTGCCACAAATTATATTCTCGGTGAAAAATACATCATATTACCAATGAGTGCTATACGTGTTCAAACAGCCACGAGTACATTCTACTGAGTTTTATATTCATCCAATTCACGTTCGTCGACTCAACTAGTAAACAACAAGTTGAATAAACGGCCTATGTCATTTCGACCCATTTTTGATTGAATGAAGCATTGGTTATTACCTTATAACATATTTAGTCCGTTCAGCTTGAAATATCACGCGCGCAAGTCTTAAATACAAAACCACTTTACCGTAATTAAGTACATAATAAGAAGTTCAGAAAGGTCGGTACCGGTTTATTTCAGTTATCAGTTTTGTGATGTATCTCTTAATAAAAATAAATACCATTGCATACACACGATTCTGTGAGAAGGTCTCTGAAGACAGTCTACAGGTAACAATTATGTTTATTATGAAATTTCGATTTATATCAGTATCTGTATCAAATACTGCACCATGGTAACCTCTCAAAACACCTACATTAAATTTCCCCTACAGCTTAAAACCACAAAGCTCACGCCCATGCTAATTCCTAGCTTGTTACCTATTTCATGCAATGGAACAACCCAAGAAACACAAATATATATGGAATTTAGATTTAATTACCATAAGGATAATATTCAAAATATATTATAATAAAATGTTCCTTTTTCACTATACCATAGAATTCAGTCTACCATAGAACTCAGAAGACACTGTCACTATAGTTATAAAACGATATGATATTTCTTTATAATACCGGTACGAATATTTATTATCTAGAGTCTGATCAATCCTTGGATTGAGTTTGTTGAAAGAACCCAGGATCATTATGGTCATTATTAGCACTCATTTGACTTTACAGCAAAAGCCATCTTGCAGGGAAGTCGGCTGCGGCCATTTTTCCTTCATCCTCCATATTCAAGGACTAATAAGCAAAACCATTATTGAAAGATTATATAGAAATCTCAAGTTGCTATACTTTGCAGATATTTGATATCTGTGTTTGAGATGTGTCTCAAAATGTGACTAAAGCTGATACTTTGATATTTGAATCTTTCTTAGGTTTTTATTTAATAAATGGTGATTTATGATCAGTGCACGGCAATTCGAAAGCCTTTTTGGTACAAATAAATTTTTCTGAATATATTTTGCTCAAATCGAAATTTCGGATTTTCGAGTTGCAAGGACTACACATAAACAAGTCGTAACTGAAATCAGGTGCCCCCGTAAACTCCCTTAAACGCTATTACGAGCAATTTGATACAAGACATTTTCTGGTGAGATATCGTAGTTTTTCAGTGAGGAATCCTTATTGGCCTACTATGTCAATGCGAGTTCTCTCGAGGACGGTATTTTCATCATTAGGCATTTGATAATTTAATGAATTTTTTACTTTTAACCTTGTCGATTGACTGTAAGTAACGCCCTTTTGAAAACACAGCAATTGTGAAAATTTGTAACAATCAGCTGAAATAAAATCTCTCCTGAATTAGCTTTTAATCACCAACATCTAAAAAATAAACATTTCTACTATTTATAAATATTTAAAATAAATAATACATCATTATCATGCACTTTGAAATATTGTCACAGGCAATTACAATATATATATTTATATGGAATATTAAAACAGAATCAAAAAAAAAGTTGTTACTTAGAGTTTCAGGCTATGCGATCTTCAGGTCTGAAGTATATTACAACCAGAGCAGCATCTCGCCATTAATTGCTCCCGTTAGTTTGACATCCAAATAGTTAAAGAGCTCAAAACGACACTTTCAATAGTGCACAATGGTCCTAGTCCTGTTTACCCCAGAAAATTTATATTGTAACATGTACTGTTTTAGAAATATTACAACAGAAGTTAAATGAACATGTTGTTACTCTGGTCTGAAGATTGCAAAGCGTGAAATTCTGGGTAACATGTTATTTAAGCTTCTGTTTTAATATTTATATATCGCTCTACTACGATTGATGTATTAAGCACTATTTTAAAATATTTTAGTATTGTATATTTATGTGATATATATGAAAATGAAACTTTCATATCCACAAGTATGTTAATTTAGATCTGTATGAAGTAACTAGAACGTAACGGATTGTTTTTGCATAAATCCTTACGTTCTCTTGTCATTGATTTACATAATACTAAGTATAAATACCAACAGAAACCCAATGTGTTACATGCTCTGCTGGTTAAAGATCCATAGACAGATACACAACTATGACAACTGGTTAAATTTCACTCATCGAACATTGTTCGTTTTTATTAGCCCAAGCCGAACCAAAAAGTAGAACCATTTCATCTAATTATAATTAGTGTTATATTAGGTAGATAATATGTTGATTATTATTAATATTAATCATAGTACACAATTATAGTTTTGTCAATGATTTCATAAAGATTTAACTTTGTTCAAAATCTTTACAAATTTATTCAACACAGGATTTTATTTACAGTAACACCATAAAGTGATTTATAGTAAAATCATTCGTAACTATTGAATTTTTTTATTATTTGATATTAATTGGGATTTCGGGTTACGTTTTGCGATTCGGATAGTTAGTACTTGTTTTATTAATTAATACAACATACAAGTTAACAGCTGTTACTAGCGTTATAATTTTCAAGAGATAATTTAGATATAATTTAACTAGATAAAGTCTTTTGAATATTCTAAAACAGTTGAAATAGCTCAAATTCACCCATATCTCTTCAATTATAAAAACCGTGGTCAAGTTCTCCCAAAAACATTCCGTTACGGTTCAGATCATAGTAGCTACTTCCATTTCCCGTCCAACGTATGTCACGTAGTCTACGGGATGTTAAAAAAGCATTTGATGACTGTTAAGCAAAAAATTGTGTACTTTTTGAAATAAGACATGTTACATAAAACATAAAAAATAAAGAAATAAAAATCAGTTAAGAAAGATCCTGGTGCAAAAAGCACACGTAAAAGTTACAAGTCATCTGCTCATGCATAACAGGGTTTCGTCATTCGTAAGATATTCTTTTGGGTTAGAAAAATAAGATAAGCAAAGGACACTTTGCAACAACGCATGCTATTTCGAGTTAACACTCCAGTGGATCTTCAATACAATAAAGTCATATGCAGTACACGTAATCTAATTACGTGTGAACCTAATTTCATGCATCCCCGAAAATGATAGATAATTTACATGTTTTGACTAACATGGGTTATCTCTACGTCAACCTGCAGAATTGTTCATATCGTTTCAAAGCAATTTATTATCTATTTCTAACATACAAAATGGCGGATTTCAGTTATTACCAATTGTCAAAATTCTTTTCGGCCAAATGTCTTTATAATATCCAGCTGTACTCAAAATGTGTCAGCGAAATTCTATGGAACAAAATGTAGGCCACATTCTTATGTTGTTTATTCTAGCAATAAATTACTCTTACGTTTTACTTATCTTATTCACCATTTTTTTTTTAAATCATCGGTCAAAGTTGGGGATTCATAAAGAAAATCGGAACAAACCAATTTTAATTATTTCATGGAATATCTAAAGAAACATCTAAGATATAAAAGAAAAAACAATTTTCCGTTTTTAATTTTGACTACATTTGGTGTTCAATCCTTATATGCACGAATATAGATTACACTACTGTTTATAAATCAATTTGTATATGAATCTAATTGAAATAACAACACTCTCAAAATTATCATATTCATCCACAAGGGGCTTACAAGCTGAAGATATCATATGATTGACCTACTGTGACGTTGTTATCGTCGGATATGATAGTGGGCGTTTATAGTGTAAGTATAATATATATTCATATTTAATTAGCAGCATAATGTAATACATAATATATTATAATTGTTTTAATTTTTACATCATCAAAGATAACAAAATAATATTATATTATATAATATAATATCAAAAGAGAAAACTATCATGTAGTTCAGCAAGAGCGTCCTAAAACAAAATGTGTAGTCATGGAGAGTATATATTGTGTACACCTTAAGCTTCTATTCGCGTACCCTAAATTTTCTCTTTAACTTAACTTAGTTTGTATGGAACATAAGCCATGGTGATCGATCATTCATTTTTCTGGAATATAAGACCACACGCGTCGAACAGAAAGTCGTGACAATAGGGCTGAATAATATACAAAACCCCCCAAAAAATTGTTAACAGCAAATATACAGCTTTGATCAAACGCTCACAGAAAACAAGACTTTAACGGTACAGATTTAATTAAATGCTATCAGATGTCAATAATATGCATCGATGTGATCGGCAGACTGTGAGCTGTTTCTGATGTTTATATTTTGAAGTATTCAAGTATATTTAATTTGTATAGATTTATTTGCTTACTTTCAGTTTTGTCATGGCTGTTTGTTCAATCCTGCAGTTTGCTGTTTTTGTTTTAAGCATCTGTACAATTATAAATGGATTTCTAGAGGTCCTTCACACTAAAATTCCAGACATGTGGAAAAATGGCGTTGATCCAGGGCAACCCATTTTCTTGACGCCTTACTTGGAACATGGATACATAGAGCAAGGTGTGTTTTTTTATATGTATATCCCGATGATCACAAACACATTTGACATCATTATCCTTTTCAGTCAATCTTAAACCTGTCATGAAAGTTTTATTAATACAACATCCCCATTCTATTAATCTTTTTGAAAAATTTGAATTAATCTACAAAGTTTCAACAAATTACTCTCTATGTTTTCAGCCAGAGAGGTCAGTAAATTAGACAGTTTAAGAGGAATACCTCTGACAAGCTATGCTGGTTTCCTTACCGTCAATAAACAATCCAATAGTAATATGTATTTCTGGTTCTTTCCTGCACAGGTGGGTTCTCTCATTGTCATTTAAACCGATATGAATATCATATTTGATGAATATTTTTCACTGTATCGTCGAATAAGGAAAAGCATTTATTTTGTATAGAGCAAAAAATGAAAATAATTTCAAAGTAGATGCCAGATAGATGTAATTGTCGTTTTGACTCAAAGGATTTATTTCGGATATATCAGTTGTCTCCCTCTAACTGTACGTTGATATAAATTTAAATTTAAGGAAAATCCTTCCGAGGCACCAGTATTATTATGGTTACAGGGTGGACCTGGAAGCTCCTCGTTATTTGGATTATTTGTTGAAAATGGTCCATATACAGTGTTAGAAGATGGTACATGTACGTATAAGTTTAAAATTTAAATGATGCTTGAGCACCGAAAAGTTCTGTGAAAGAAAGAAAGACCTTGCTATATGTATTTTCCCTTAATTTTTAAAGAAAGAACCTAATATTAATATGTGTCGGTAAAGTGGATAATTTAAGAAGTGAGCAAGTTATATCAACGGCCACATTTATATAATGTTAGTTATCTAGTGTATAACATCTGTTCCAATCATCTGTACAATTTACAGAGAGAAAGGTTTATGATTGATATTTTTCAGTGACATTGAAGAATATAACATGGAACAAGAAATATTCAATGTTATATATAGATAATCCAGTAGGGACTGGATTTAGTTTTACTCAGAATGATGAGGGATATGCTAGAACTGAAACTGATGTTGCAGCCAATCTATATAAGTAAGTATTGTCTCATTTCGAAGAAAGTACTTATTATACCCAAATGCATTAACTGTTCTATAGGTTTTTGAATACTTCTACATTTCTTTATTATTTTATTTGGTCCAACACTGTCAGAAATGCGTACTGGCTCTTAGAAAGTATACTGTGTTTATATTGTTAATATGAATTTTATGAGTTTGACAAAAAGAAAAAAACATATACTTTTCTGACAAATCTTGCCAAACTGTATCAGTTTATTGGATTTTCTTAACACGGTACAATACTGGAAATAAATTTCCTTTCAGTGCTCTGACCCAGTTCTTTCAAATATTTACAGATTATCAGAAAAATGATTTTTACGTTACTGGTGAGGTAAATAATATCATTTTAAGGCACTACAACCTTTCTTTTTCTTAAATGATAAAATCATATACATGTAACTGTGTCACAGAATTTACAGGTCAGTTTAGTTTCGCAGGTTTAGACATTTACTGTGTAATGCAGATTCAAGAAAGAATTTCCAGTGGTAAACCGCTTTACCAGCTTTTCTGTCCCATTTCCATGTCTTATTTTGCAGTCTTACGGTGGGAAATATGTTCCTGCCATATCATACGCCATTCATACTAACAATCCAAAAGCTCAAACTAAAATAAATTTCAAAGGAATGGCAATAGGAGATGGCTTATGTGATCCAGAAACAGTAAGTGATTTTTTTCCCAGTAAATTAGTTGAACTGCTAAAAGGGATTCGACACATTATTATAATTAAAATAAGAAAAAAATTAATGTACTTAAATATACAGATTTTGGTCAATGCCTGGTTTTCCGTGAAACAATGTGATTGTATCGTAGCAACACAAGTCATTTTTTAATCGACTTTCTGGTAAGAACGGTTGTCTAATTTAACAAATATTTTCTTCATTTTGTAAAATCAAATATCTATATAATTACATATACATATTATTCCTACGTTTAATTTTGACTGCATGTCTTGAAAAGACAAATCTTACATTAAAATAAGTTAAATGACGCTATTTAATCCCAAACCTCATGCAACCTTTCTGATTGACATTCCAGATGATGGATAAATATGCTTCATATATGTACAGTATTGGTACTTTGGATGAAAATCAGAGAGATTACTTTCAACAACAGACAGATACAGTGGTCAACTTGATTAAAGACAAGGATTACACTGCAGCGTTTCAAGTAATTATGATCTTTTGGGGTGCCCTTGTGTAGCGTAAGTCCCCATATGGTGTTCTTTGACTCCTTAAGCAGATTCAAATAATACCCATTTCCACGACACAGGACTATGACTATTATGATCCATCTCTTCAAATTCCCCAAAAATTGGTCACAGTTCGGCCACAGTCAAAAACATTTGCAGATGATCCTCGAAACAAAATGTGTGATCGGATATCCAGGTGGCAACTCATATAACTTGTGTTCACTTGACAGTATCAATAAATCTCTGTTCTTTCTAAAATGTCTTTAGGGAACTTTTACTCGTTAAATTTCATCATCAATATGTTATATTTTTCGACACAGCAGTCAGTATGGTTGGTTGGATTTATAATGTGTACTTGTAGGTGTTCGACCAGCTTCTACTGGGTGGTGGTTATTACCAAAATGTATCAGGAAGTACAGATTATTATAATTTTCTCAGATGGCAGGTATATATATCTAAACAGGTTGTTTTTGCGTATTGAGTCTAGATGTTAAATACATAGTGAAAAGTGACACTTACACAGTGGTTAAATTGTCTCTATCGTAAGTTTGGTCATGGCCATTCATATTCATATTAATGTACTGCCATTTCGACACTTGTCCAATTCATTTTTGATTTTGTTTCAGTCACCAGAAGCAATGGGATACTATGTCCAGTTATTGGCTGATCCTGCAGTAAGAAAGGCAATTCATGTTGGTAATTTAACGTACAATGATGGTCGAAAGGTGCAAGAATACCTCACAAATGACTTCATGCAGTCTGTAAAACCATGGATAGCTGTGCTGATGGATAACTATAAGGTAATCTCATCTCTTTTTGATGCAGTCTAATGCATCCTTGCAAGAGCGTACAAAGTGTTTATTAAGTTTCAATAAATGAAAAGTCATCCATGTGTGTATTTCCTGAAGACATGATTCAACATTACCGACTACAGCATTTTCAGACTTGTCTTCGAAGCCAGCATACATTTGAATTTCATCAGCGAAGAGATGAATGCACAAGCCATATTTGGAGGCAATAGTTTTTATTTGGTAGAGATGAGGAACAGGACAGGTCCCAGAATGTATACTTGTGGTAGACCACAGAGAATGGACATGTTTGTCGGAAATTTGACATTAACGCAAACTTTCTGTTTCCTCTTGGTTAAGTATGAATGGAAACATTGGAAAACTGCACCTCTTAAACCAATTTCTGTCCACAGAGTATCCAGTAAATTCTCAGTATCAAAATGCGACTGACAAGTCAAGTAGGATCAAGATCACTGATTGTCGTCTATCGATCTCCAGATAAATATCATTAACAATCTTAATAATTGTTGTTTCTGTGCTATGGAATGGTTTTTGGTATGGATTAGCCAAATTATTCAAATGTATGTGTTGGTTTAACTAGATCATCTCTCAATACGTCTTGATACATAACTGAAGTTGCTAACAGGCCTGTAGTTGTTAAGAAAATCGGGATCTAAAGTTGTTTTATTAACCAATGGTCTTATTATTGCTTCTTTTAGTTTATCTGGGAAAATGCCCGTCTTTAAGGGTGCATTTGCAATACGCAGAATTGGAGTGATGAAAATATCAATATTCTCCTTTAGAAGCCATGTTGGTAGTGGATCAAGTTCACAAGATTCTGTTTTGGTTTGGTATGGTTGATGATAATAGTTAATTCATCTTTCGTGTACGGTTGAAATGTGGAAACGGTTCAAGATGATAGTATTTTGCAGGTCGATGGACGTACCAGTAAACTCTGTTGTAATGTTATGTCCGATCTTATTTTCGAGAACTTGTCGTTGAAGCACTGATTGAAGGTTTGGGCCAGTGTAGATGCCGATGCATGTTCAGGACGAATGTTTTAGGCTATGATATATAATGGTCAACTAGATATCATTATAGCTGTACTGTTAACAGAATCTGGATACAAACTGTACTATGTTTTGTTTATTTTAGGTTATGATATATAATGGTCAACTAGATATTATTATAGCTGTACCGTTAACAGAATCCTGGTTACAAACTGTACCATGGTCTGGTCTAGATGATTATAAGAAGGCTCCACGTGGCATATGGAAAGTAAATGATGATATTGCTGGTTATTATAGACAAGTTAAAAATTTCTACCAGGTGCATTTTTCACCATTTACATCCAGAAAATCCACCCTACGTTACTAAGTTATAGTATATTATTTTCTAGATTCGATGTATTTATTTATTTAGTATATTCTATTTTTACATACAATGACTCATATATTATGCCCATAATTAATTCAGAATACTTGTCGTATTTTAAATAAGAAGATGTTGCCCTCGATATTTGCCTTTATCAAGAAATGCTTTTGCCATCTATGCAGTATTTACCTTATATCATACTCCATCAGTATTTTGACTAATCTTATGTATAAATGAAACTTCTGACCTATTTTCAGATCATTGTATTAGGATCCGGGCATATACTACCATACGATCAACCTGCACGAGGATTTGATATGATTCAGCGATTTGTTGACAGCAGTGGGTTTTCTTAATCATGTAAATATTCATTGGAGAATTACACAGAATACACCACTTATTATATAAAATATTTCAATTGTTTATCGTACTATTTTTGTGATCTTGAGATAGGAGCATTAAATGAGATCTATATTGGCAATAATAACGGTCAATCGTATCTACAGCGGCCATTCTCGCTACGCCTGACAATACGTCAGAGAATGGACGACGTTGATACGAATGTGATAACGGTATGTTTCCTTCAGTTACGTCCCTTGAACTATTGAAATTGGAGATAAATATATATTCATCAGTTACGTCCCTTCTAAATTCGTCGTTAAGCGGTCATTTCTTCTGTTGGTGCGTTCCTGTTTGTAGTGTTTGTTGTGTATTTTGATCAGCTATGACGGATGTGGCACCAGGCAGGGTAAGCTTACTCTTCTAGACACCTGATACTACTTTTCATTATGAAATACTTACTTATGATTGATATACTTCCTCGTGTGAAAAGTTCATTAGCTATTATATTTCGTCAATATGTTGTTACGGATTTTTGGTTTCGTTTTGCGGTTCGGATCTATAGTAGGCTTACTTTGTTTATGTATTTATCCAGATATTTTTTCCAATAAATGTGCTGTGGGCCGTAACTGTACCACTTTATCAATTATTTCCCCTTGATAATATAAATATTTCTACATCAGCAATACAATTCTTGTGTTAACGGCGTTTTGGATAAATTTATTTGACATACTTTAAACCAACACATGAATAAAAAATATATATTGGACAGTATGCATCATTATTTTATTCCAACAGATATTGCAGTCGTATATTACAAGTGAAAAATCTTCCTGGAAGAAACGGTTTCGATAATCGTTTATCGTAACATTCTGAAAAATAGTAACCACAACTCTTGAGCATCAATATTAGAAATGTGCAAATTAATTGTATAAAAATTATGCCTTTGATTTTCAAGTAATAATTTGTTTGTCTAAAATTACTAGCTTCTGTAAGATGTTACACAATTTAAATGTATAGTTAATATGGTTATCCTTTCCAATACTGGCCATAGATCTTCATTTTCGAACCTTGCTCACTAAATCTTAACTCGATTGATTCGATTAGTTACACGTGGAAAATGTAAAGGTTTTCTTCTCTTTTTTGCGTGTGTAAACATCAGACTATTTCATCTAAATTACTGTCATCTATTTCACAATTTTACATTTCTTATTATTTAACATTTGGTTAAAATGCATATTTTTCCTTTTACATTAACCTAAAAAGGTGACAATTCACACATTCTTTGAGATATTGCAAAATTAAAACATGAACTCTCTAGAACAATTAAGTTTATAATTAAACTATGAAAATTTATTTAAAATGTCTGCACTTATATGACCGCTTTCTTTTCGCATTCTTTTTCATGTTGTTTTTTTCGTCAGAAAATAATGTATTTTTCTTTTCCATATTTAACTTTCTGAACTTATTCTTTAATAACATTAAAAATTATCATATTGTTAAATTAAATTTTATCATTTTATTTATTTAATAAAAGGATTGTATTAACTAGATTAGAATATTGATCAGATAAAATCTGGCGATGTATTAAAAACCTTTAAATACTTCTGTAACATTTTTATTGATTTAAATGTGATCTCGTAATGAATTGACATATTTCTGATTTATTGAATGACGAGAATGCAGCATATTAAATGGATGAAATTACAGGCAATGCAAGAATCGCGATCACGATTTATCTAACAATTGAAAAATATTATCATGGAGTATTGAATATTGTATTATCATCATGAACGTTTTTGCACTGGTAAACATGAATAAATCAAATTAAACTAACATCTTTGAAGTGATGAAGAGAAGTGTTCTCCAAAAGTTCCTTTGGAAATCTCAAATCAGAAACAATCTTGATCTAAGAAATATCTTGACTGGTAAACCTGATTGTCGATGTCCTGTAATTTGATAAATCACATTATTTCTCCGGAGATGAACTAATACATCATGAAAGGAAAAATATTAATTTCATTATTTAATTGGCTACCAATCATGAATCCACTAGGAATCGGCAATATAGTAATTTTACCCGGAATATTAGTTTATTTTTGTACCATCATTTCCAATATAGCATGCCTGTATTATATAAATGTTGACAGTTCGACGTGCATGAAACTCGGATATCAATAGCTTTGTGGTTTGATAATTAGCAGTATATCTTATGATGAACTCTTTCTGGAAAGTTGCAAAATCGGAGGTGATGTCCTGATTAGTTTTTGAGCATGTTAGAACGAATATGAACTACCAGTTCAATAAAACTACCAAATGTTACAGGTTGTGTGAATATTTCAAAATTTGAAATAGAAAAACTTCTCTCATTGCTCATTGTCTGATATTATTCGTATTCACTTGCCCGATCAATATCAAGTGATCATTTCTATTAAAATATCCCAACAGAAAATATAGCGCACTCATTTTAAGGCGGTGTTACTTCTCTGCATACGAATATCGTCTCCAACAAGCTATCAGATTGTGGCACAATAACAGTGAGCGACCATTTTTATCTCAAGAATAGTAATACGATAACAATGAACAACCATTTTATCTCAAGAATAGTAATACGATAACAATGAGCCACCATTTTATCTCAAGAATAATAATACGATAACAATGAACAACCATTTTATCTCAAGAATAGTAATACGATAACAATGAACAACCATTTTATCTCAAGAATAGTAATACGATAACAATGAGCGACCATTTTTATCTCAAGAATAGTAATACGATAACAATGAGCCACCATTTTATCTCAAGAATAATAATAAGATAACAATGAACAACCATTTTATCTCAAGAATAATAATATGATAACAATGAACAACCATTTTATCTCAAGAATAGTAATACGATAACAATGAGCCACCATTTTATCTCAAGAATAATAATATGATAACAATGAGCAACCATTTTATCTCAAGAATAATAATATGATAACAATGAGCAACCATTTTATCTCAAGAGAAGTAATACAATAACGATAACAATGAGCAACCATTTTATCTCAAGAATAATAATACGATAACAATGAGCAACCATTTTATCTCAAGAATAATAATATGATAACAATGAGCAACCATTTTATCTCAAGAATAATAATATGATAACAATGAGCAACCATTTTATCTCAAGAGAAGTAATACAATAACGATAACAATGAGCAACCATTTTATCTCAAGAATAATAATACGATAACAATGAGCAACCATTTTATCTCAAGAATAATAATATGATAACAATGGGCAACCATTTTATCTCAAGAATAATAATATGATAACAATGAGCAATCATTTTATCTCAAGAGAAGTAATACGATAACGATAACAATGAGCAACCATTTTATCTCAAGAATAATAATACGATAACAATGAACAACCATTTTATCTCAAGAATAATAATTCGATAACAATGAACAACCATTTTATCTCAAGAATAATAATACGATAACAATGAGCAACCATTTTATCTCAAGAATAATAATATGATAACAATGAGCAATCATTTTATCTCAAGAATAATAATACGATAACAATGAGCAACCATTTTATCTCAAGAGAAGTAATATGACGCTGCATGTCTGATTTAAATAAAATAATCCCCAAAAGTGTCCAGACAATGTTTCACATATGACCGAAAGTAGTTAACATAATTGTATGAGGGGAACTTCAAATCACAAAATAGCTCAATAATTACAACCATGTCTGATGATGACCATCAGATTTGTATTAACTTTTGACTTCCTTCGTGCATGAATCGCAAAAGGCTTTCACTCCAAGACCACTATTGGATGAACATGAAATATCGAAAATAGCTTGTCTTCTTAGCTTTTATATTCTGGTTTGGAAAGGTAACTAGTTCCAGCTATTAAGCCTGTCGCGAGAGGGATTAGCTGAGATGCCTGTCACAAGAGGTTGTGAGCTGAGATGTTTCTCTCGCTTGAACTCGAGAGGCTGTGGTCAGAAAGCTGCAGTCCGAAAGTTCTTGTTCTTGTTTTTGTGATGCAAGGAATTGACCAGAACTGTGCTGGAGTTATTACTTATGTTACTGATTCAACATAGTTCCATTATTGCTTACTATGGGCCAGAATACCCTATTTACAAACGACATTTAAATTTGGTCAAGTTATTTCAAGTTCGATTTTTAAGTTGTTATTAAAACATTCTAAATGCTTTAATGATAATTAATGTCTGACCTGTTTTCTTTACCTTTATATTTATTTATATTTTCATCTAAATTTAAGTTTCTAAAAATTAAGTTACAATGTACTGTAAGTGATCTGATGCTCAACACAAACTTTCAAGCTCTAATATACTTAAAATATACATTAAGCTAGTATAGAATTCATTCATAAACGGCAACAGGGTATTTTGTAGAGGGGGTGATTTGGACCTTGGATATTTGTAAATAGTCATCAGAAGTAATCGCACAATCCCTTCAAGTCCTTAAACAAGAAATTGTTTTGCATAAATTGGGAAATACAGGGTGAGCATACTCTAGAATAAATGACCTTACAAGTAAATCAAATCGATGCGACGTCGTGATATCGACAATAATTACAAAAGTGGCGTGAAACATACAGCCCCGGAAGTTACGAATTGATGCGGTGAGTTTTTGTTGAAAGGCCAGAGGTCGGATTGTAATTTTTAAAATTTGCTTTGGACAGTTTTAATTGGGTTTTATCAGTTTTACTTATATTAATGAAAGCTATCTGATTTATAATAGTATTTGTTGGTTTGTTGTGCTTAAATTCCTCCTGTCATTTTCTAATAGCTATATTAATCATTTCAAAACACATCAAAAGTATTTCACAAATCAAAGATAGTAATTCCTATTACAATTTGAAAAGAGTATTGCCCTGCTGACCTCTTAATTGGTCCAATCATTACTTGTTCACTGGGTCAGTAAGACACTATAAATAAAATGAAAATTGGCTCTTAGAAATTAATAATGTTTCAGAATTATGACG